ATTCCAAGAACTTTGAGTCGATGTATAAGGCGGAGATGTAAACAACCGAACGGTCGACAATATTAAATTCCTGGTATAAACTCCAAAAGTGGAACAGCTCAAAGAAAATTTTTTCATTCAAGGTATGTATATTTATGTTTCTTCAAATTCTCTAAACTAAAGGCGAAGAACAATGATGTTTTAAGCGAGTTTATTTCAAGGGGTTTTTAGTCATGCAATCGGACCATTCGCGTAATAGACTAAATTTTTATCTAAACAAAAATTTCATCACAGCTTGAAAGAGCATCACAAAATTAGTAATATTCCAAAATTTCGTTGCGAAATGTTGTAAGATGCGGATAATATAGCCCTGCGAAGTTTGCAATTTTCAGTCATTTTAGATTACAAACGGGAAAATGACAGCCTGTCAATTTCCCGTTTGTAATCTAAAATGACTGAAAATTACAAATTTCGCAAGGCTATATTATCCGCATTTTACAACATTTCGCCACGAAATTTTGGAATATTACTAAGTTTGTGATGCTCTTTCAAGCTGTGATGAAATTTTTGTCTAGACTTGTTGAGATCAAAATTTAGTCTATTACGCAAATGGTCAATTGCCAAACAGTGATTTTTGCATATTTAATGTACCAAAGTTAACTCTTTCTCGTAGCGCGTGAATTTATTTGCCCAAAATAAATAATACATTTCTGAAAAGAGCAGTTTTCCAATAGTGCTTGTGCAAAATCTCATAAGATTTGAAAGGATGGCAAATGGAGAAATCTGTCCCTTTTTACACGCAATGACAAACAATAAAGATCAGTACCCGTCGCTCTTTATTGTGCACAAATGTGTTTAGTTGTTCAATTATCATAAAACCACTTTTAATAAACGAGGGAGTGATGTATCTTTAGCAGAAAGTATAATAAGGCTATTTGAATTTACGGTTTGGATACCAGGATTAAGTAAACATACGCAATTTCGGCCATTTTTCGATTGCGAAAATCGGTCCTCACAGCTGAAATATTTTTTTGCCTTTTTTTCATAAACAAAAGAGTATTTTTAAAAACTAACCATATGACGTTTCATACTTTGTCATAGTTAACTTAAATTCAAAAGTAGAGCGAATTTAAAATTTTGAGCCTTGCCGCGGTATGTTTGATTTTTGTAGAGACTCGCTCTTAAGGACTGTAATGTGACTATAAATCTTAATAGTGTGGGACCTTTGGAGCGTGGTGATAGTGTGGGAGCCTTGAAGCATTCAATTCAATTCAATTCAATTTATTAAATTGCCACAAAAAAGGAATTATTTACAAAAAAACGACATAATGAAAGATGCATGTGACGAGGAAGCCCAAGTGGAAACCATAAGGCTTATTGAGTTATAAGCTTCCTCATTTATAATATTTTATTCACAGCTGTGCTATAGTAGTCAGATAGACTTGACTTAACTAAATTTGGCATATCTGGGTTTTAGGGTATTAAAATCCAAGTATTAAAACATGTTATAGTCGAGAGTGGTGCATTACGAATATCGTTACTCAGTGTATTAAAAAAACTTGAACCTTGATCGGACACAGAGAATTGACGTAACTTAGTTCTACACAATAGTACATATAACAATTCAGCTCTCCGCAAGCCATAGCCATGCACCTGTTTTACTCGTAACACCAGGTTGTCAAAGTTTCTAGGAAGCCTATTATTTATGTATAAAAACATGAATTTCCCCAGATTGTAAAAATAAATATCTTTGAACTTAAATATTTGATTATATTTAAATAATGGATCAGTGTGGGCATCAAATTCTACCTTATTGATAATTCTAATCACCCTTTTTTGAAGCAATAAGAGACGATTTAATTTATAAGGGTATGTTGAACCCCACACTGTTACACAATATTGTAAATAAAGATAGACAAGTGCATAGTATAGTGCACGTAGAGCTACCTTGGTGAGGCAAAAACTTGCTCGATATATGATACCAACCGATCGAGAAATTTTACTAGCAATAAGCGAAATGTAAAGTGACCAAGACAAGTGTTCATCCAGGAACACTCCAAGAAAAACTACATGATCTGTGCGATGTAGTTCATGATCAGTATATACAGCGGCAAACTAGTAATTAGTCTCTTTTGCCGTGGTCTAAAAATAATATAATTTGACTTGCTTGTGATGTTACTCTGAGTGTATATCCACACCAAGCAGGCTTGAAAATTATGCCTGGCCACGGTGGGAATCGAACCTACGAGAACTAGAACTAGGCCGAAATATCACATACTCGAACCGACCTGATCGCGTAGCTCAGTTGGCAGAGCATTGGGCTAGTATTCCAAAGGTCGTGGTTCGATTCCCACCGTGGCCAGGCATATTTTTCAAGCCTGCCTGGTGTGGATATACACTCAGAGTAACATCACAAGCATCTTATTCACCTGAGTACATTGCACCAACACAGCAAATATCATAAGTTGACTTCTTTATATTTAAAGATAGCTTATTGGCTTTAAACCAATCAGATAACTTAAGTAACTCTATATTGACGATGTTGGTCAAGTTAGATAGATCATGATGAGAAAAAAATAGATTGGTATCGTCAGCAAATAAGACCAATTCCAAGGCATCTGAGACATTGCAAATATCATTAATATATATCAGAAATAGTAATGGCCCAAGTACAGACCCTTGAGGTACTCCACATCTTATAGTATTAAACGTGGACGTTACCCTATTGCATTCAATATATTGTTGTCTGTTTGAAAAATAAATAATTTCTTAGCCAATTAAGTGTAGTGATAGTGTGGGAGCCTTGGAGCATGGTGATGGTGTGGGAGCCTCGGAGCATGGTGATAGTGTGGGAGCCTTGGAGCATGGTGATGGTGTGGGAGCCTCGGAGCATGGTGATGGTGTGGGAGCCTCGGAGCATGGTAATAGACTGATAGTGTGGGAGCATCGGAGCATGGTGATAGTGTGCGGACCTTGGAGCATGGCCTGGTGATGTTTTGGGAGCCTTGGAGCATGCTGATGGTGTAGGAACCTTGCAGCATAGTGATGGTGATGTTGTGGGAGCCTTGGAGCATGGCGTTAGAGTGGGAGTCTTGAAGTATGGTGATGGTGTGTGAGCTTTGAGAGCATGGTGAGAGTGTGGGAGCTTTGAGAGCATGGAGATGGTGTGGGAGCCTTGAAGTATGGTGATGATGTGGGAGCCTTGGAGCATGGTGATGGTGTGGGAGGCTTGAAGTATGGTGATGATGTGGGAGCCTCGGAGCATGGTAAGAGTGTGGGAGCTTTGAGAGCATAGGGATAGTGCTGGAACCTTGAAGTGACCTCATACAGCCGTACACCACTGTACTACTGGCATCGTAACGCAGTCATTTGTATTTGGTATATCAGGTATTTGATCCAAGGGATTAATAACTAAAGTAAGTTTGTCCGCACTATCAACTTCGTCTTCAAGGCTGTCCATATCTTGTTCAATGTCATTTTCCTCTTTCTTGATTGTCATAAAACAACCAAAACTATTGATAATAACAACCATAGCCAAATAGACAAATATTATGGGGAAAAACATGAGATCTTTGTCCCCAACACTGTCTGGTAGATTTTTAATAACAGCAATAGCTATACTTGAATTTCTTGCTGATGAAAGCACTGTAACAGCAAGGATTGATTTCTTAGGTAGCCGTAGTAGAGAAGCAAGTATGAAGGTAAAAACAAGAAATGACGTAATGACAGCTGTACCAAGAGCTGTTACAGCCACAATCATCCAAGGTGAAAATTTTTGAAGGTCTCCTTTCGCTGTTGCCTGACTAATTTTCACCCAAAACATAACAAGGAGAGCCCCAGAAGTAACAAACTTCAGAGATGTATATAGTTTTGTAACAACCTTTTTTACCAGTCCAATGAATCTTAAAAGTCGTCCAACCTGAAGAAAGATTGTACAGTTATTAAGATAAGAAAACAAAAGAACACAAACTGAATTTAGGCGTAAATAACTACTGGAAATTTAATTAAACTAACAAGAGGATGAATTTCACAAAAATCTCTTACTGCTCAAGTTTGGGTGAAATTACTGACACCTTGACTTGTTGATGAACTTTAATATAAACGAGTATGTTTATGACATTCAGTATATCTTTCATAATTTCCAGTCTGACCGTTTAGCTCAGTTGGTAGAGCGTCGATCTAGTAATTCGAAGGTCGCGGGTTCAAGACCCAGTCGCGGCAGACTTTATCTTTCTGCTTACGCTGGGTATGGAAATTATATAATACACACTGGAGAACATTTTCACCTTAATATATATATATATATATATATATATATACCGGTATATATATATATATATATATATATATATATATATATATATATATATATATATATATATATATATATATATATATATATATATATATTAACGAATAATGTAGTTGTAAGCAAGTAAGGTGTCGCTTTTTTTATATAGTGTATATTTTGTATATGTATACACTATATATATACACAATATACACTATATACAGCCTAGCAAGTTGACAAAAGCGAGAATATACAGTATATACAGTTTTGACTATATATACCTGTATATTGTGTATATTTATCTATCTCGGCATTATATATATATCTCGGCATTTCTTAAAATCTGTTCCACGTCTTGGAGCACTATTAATCACGCATTTAATTTACGAATCATTGAAATCGGAATATAACTGGAACGTTACCTCCATGCAGCCGGAAAATTCGAAAGTTGGAGCCAAATTTTAACTCCAGACGCGCGAAATTTGATCTTCAAACATCTAGCGTATATACACAATACACAATACCCGTCAGTTTTTAAACCTTACACCGAAAAAATTTTGCATTGCTGCACAGTGTGCATGGTTTCTTTGATGCATGCTATTCGTGATATTCGGTTTGAATTCAATTATTCGGGAGGTCAATTTTGGTTTCTTCAGCGGTTATCTTTAGCCAATCCAGTTTTGCCGACTGAGATAACAATTTGCCGATTAGCTGACGAGTGGGGGGGGGGGTGTCCCCCCCCCAATGTTGTATGTGAATGTTGTGGTTTCCCACGTTTACGATTCCATTCGTGTAGCGTTATGTAGTGGTTTTTGAGTTGTTTTCAGACGAGTGTATACCAAACCGGGCAAGCAGAAAATTCTACATGACCGCGGCTGGAATTCGAACCCGCGACCTTCGTATATATATATATATATATATATATATATATATATAATATATATATATATATATATATATATATATATATAATATATATTATAATATATATATACCGGGTGTCCCAAAAAAAAGTACTCCTGTTTGATTCGTAATAACTTCTAAACAAGTAAAGCTTTTAAAGAGAAATAACTTGCATTAAATAGAGGAAGGACTAACTTAGATTTTGATATATTACAGTTGTATTTTACTTAAAAATTCACAGAGATATTAATGTTCAAAATCGGAAGCATATTTTGGGATGTGTCTAAAATTAGCGAAAATCGGCATATCAAATATTAACTCCAGCGTTTGTTTGCTTAATGACATATCAGGCTAACTTGTATTTCAGCGAATTATCGTTAGGGTTTGTAAGGGATATGGCGTAGATTTAGACATCTTACATGTAAGTCTTAGCTCATTGTTTCCTGAAATATGAACGTTCGAAATTATGCAAGTATTTAATATTAGGTCTTTACAAACTTAAAAGTACATGAAAGACTGACCATGGAAGGCAGGCGCTTAAATTTTTTTTAAATAGCCTAATTTTTTTATGTTTTTAGTGGGTTCAAACAGACTGAGTTGATTATTTCTCGGTTAGAGCAGGATGAATATTATTCTTTATTGAAGGAAATAATATTGCTTTTTGCAAATACACATCACCGTATCAACGCTACTATTTTGTTACGTTTTGTTACGTTTTGTTCTGGGGAGTTGCTTAATTGTTATGTCTTATGGAGTTATATGGTTTGATTGTGTTTCATATAATTCTCAGTTTACTCTGCATGAACTTGCCAAGATTAAGAAAATGCAAAAGAGTTTGGGTGTTCTTAACAAGATTTCAGAACGTTGCAGAAGTTAGAAGAGCTTCACAATTCCATTGTGACAGCATGCCCTAATTCAGAACTACGAACGACCATGACGATCCTTCGCGATGCAGTGGTCTCATGAAATAAGGAAACGTATTCGTGCTAGGAACACACGCGAATTTCGGACGAATAAATCTTGCTTGTATTTTGTAGATATAATAATACTTTCTTTCATAATAAACAATTTGTCAAGTGTCATTTATTTACTGGTAATAGTGCATGTTTCAGTCGGGCAAATCTTGATTAATATTTGATACGCCGTTTTTTGCATATTTCAGACACATCCAGAAATATGCTCCCGATTTTAAAGATTAATATCTCCGTGAATTTTTAAGTGAAATACAACTGTAATATATCAAAATCTAAGTTAGTCCTTCCTCTATTTAATGCAAGTTATTTCTCTTTAAAAGCTTTACTTGTTTAGAAGTTATTACGAATCAAACAGGAGTACTTTTTTTTGGGCCACCCGGTATATATATATATATATATATATATATATATATATATATATATATATATATATATATATATATATATATATATATATATATATATATATATATATATATATATATATATATATATATATATATATATATATATATATATATATATATATATATAAATAGGATGTGGCTGATTTGTGGTCACGTGACTTCAGCTAAATGCAATGTATCCCGCCGGGCAACAAGTGAAAAATTGTTGCCCGCCACGACCGGCTATACGTACATAAATAAACAAAATGGCGGCACAACTAGCATAATTAGAAACTACGATTTTCCAAGTTTGTGTTCAAATAAAAAATGTAAAAGAGAAGAAAAATACACAACAGGCAACAGGATATGCTGCATGCTGAAACCGTTTAAGTAGGTCCTTTTAATTTTAAATTCGTTTACACTTTTGAATTTTTGTCCCGAAATGCAATTAAGATTATTAGCTTATCTTGGGAGATGGATGCTCCTCCAAATATTCAGGTCATCACTTCGGTGAATAATTGTTAATTATTACTATTATTAGATGCAAACAGTTACTTACAATCAAAGGTAAAAGAATGAACAGAATGACTCTAGTTAATATGGTTAGGAAACTAACACTGGCAGTTTGAAATGCTGGTATCAACCATGTAGTCATAACTGGAACAGTAAAGACTGATATAGTGGTCGCTATTACTGCAATCAATAATGTCAATGCTCGATTACCATTGGCTGCTGTTACCTACGAAATAAGAGCACACCATTAGAAACTGGACAAGCACCGCTTACAGACTGCTACAGAAGCAAGCTAAGGTCACTTGTTAGAATACAGATGTGAAGTTTATAGTGTCCTGTACTTTCCCCTCTATATCATTTACCATCAATATATATCGGTCCTGATAATTTTTAATAATCATCCTTTTTTCGAAGCTTTTAAGACGACAATAAATTCATTTCTCTGAGCATTCTGGTACGCCATAGTTGCTCAAACCTCTGACGTTTGACATGGACCACCACTTTGTATTGCATATTTGTATTCCCTTTCCTTTCCTTTCCTATACAATCCCACACGTATTTCGACACTGTCACTGTCATTTAAGTTAATCAAATTTTTGAGGGAGTCAAATTTGTTTGAGAAGTATTATGTTTAAATTTTGTTTGTATATCTAAATTTTCAAGTAAGTTAATCAAATTCAAGGAGTCAAATTTGTTTGAGAAGTATTATGTTTAAATTTTGTTTGTATATCTAAATTTTCAAATTGCGTTTTAATGGACGTTTGATAGGAAATAATCACAGTTTATTACATACATGTCCAATACCTATGCAAGATGTCCAATGGAATAATCAAAAGGCCATTGGACATTCCATTTGTCAAATGGATCAAATGGACCTCCAATTTTCCATTGGACTTTTGCGTGTCCATTGGATCCAATGGACAAATGGAATGTCCATTGGCCAGCAATGGATCAAGGCCAGCAATGGATCAACTATCGGAACTATGCATCACCCGAATAACAGACCATGTGAAGGTTGCCGATCGGAACAATGCATCAACCGGATAAGAGCTTCCGCGTTTTTACCATTACGTAATTAACAGGTTGCAAGACTCCATGTGGACATGATTATGAAACCAGAGAGATGTTCCAATGGTCCAATGGATCCAATGGACCAATTATTGTCCAATGGAATTTTACCTGTCCATTGGATCCAATGGACGAAATAGCCTTTCCATTGGAAAATTACCTGTCAATTGGTCCAATGGGAAAATAATATGGAAGTCAGTAGACATTTCTTATATCAATAATATAACAATATGTTATTGCTTCGTTCTTAAAAACTCACGCAATATATCATATAGCAATATATAATATGTTGTTGTTTGTTTCTTAAATTAAGAAACCTACACGCAATATATCAATATAATATGTTGTTGCTTCGTTCTCAAGAGACCACATTTATATAACGCGGAAAGGAAAGATCCTTATATATCAATCATGATATAATATGTTGTAATTGCTTCGTTCT